ATCAGATTTTAATCAGATTGCCTCAATACTTACACTTAATAAGCAGTTTTGCTGCAATAACCAATCACAATTTATATTTCTCGTTTCTTTGTATTAGTAGTATGTGTGTTTTTTGGACTGCCTTGTCTGTTTGGAAGTCTTATATATAAATTATATATTATATAAATTTGATTACTGATATTTGGAAAACAATAATCAAAGACCCGGTTTTATGGTTTTAGACAGTCAAACTTGATGCATTTTAGAGGGGATGGGTGCTTAGCCAAATCTTACACATGATACACCTTAACTAAAATTGTCATTTGCATAGTTTTTTAAGTGGGGTGCTCAGCTAAGCTCCACCCCTTGAGACACATGATTTGGAAGCTGAGTACCATTGGCGATGAGTCAGATGAGTAGAGTAAAACCTCATTGTCTGCTTACCATAAGTATGGTCTCTAAGCCCTCTTAACATAACATAGTGCTCATCATGGCCTTCAATGTAGATCTTTCCTTCAATCTGACCCCATTGTTCATAATGAGTTTGATGTGTTCTGTGTATCATACAGAAGAAATACAGGAAAGTACAGGATATTATTATCATACACTGTTAATGCAGGAACTGTATGTTGACTCTAGAAGTTACTATACAGTATGATTCCTTTACCAATTAGTTATTTACATGCCATGATAAAAGTTAGGACAAACTTTCTATCTATTGCTGCATTATAAGGATCAACCATCAAATGAAAAGTCAAATCTCTCATGTACAATACGTAATAAATGTGTAATTGAATCTCTTGTGTACAACATGCAATTATTTTTTTCTAATTACAACCCAGAAACTTCACGACAAAGCCCAAACATGTCTGTGCCATTCTGTAACCAATTTATATTTGTGTCCAAAAAGTATCATCTGAGATTATACTACTAGTATTCCAAATATGAATAAGGCTAGTCCTATTTCGGTAAGAGAGAGCAGGATATCTAAATTCATGCAGACACATTTATAAACAATGATGGCAGACTCGGAAATCTCAGTTTTAGGTGACAATTCACTTTTATCATGCCACAGCTATAGCTGACTATTGTGTTTCAGGACTCAAGCAGTGGCCACTGCATGATAAAAGCAAATTAAACACCAGGCTGATATCATCAATAAAAAGATATCAATGTACCTACGTGTAAGTCAATGTACTTAAATAAAAGAGTTAGCTGGGTTCTAATAAATAATGCCACTTTTGCTTACAGTTTTAACTTGTCAAAAAATTCTCGTGACCAATTTTCTCTTGCAATTGAATCAGCCAACAGCATGGGATGTAATTCAGTGTCAAAATCAAATGGCGCTGTATAAGCCTTCCACCTTGACATCACAGAAAACAAAAAAAATTACATGAGATATTAACAACCACATATTAAGACCAACAACTTGACAACAACCATTTTATTTACATCACATGGCCTATTTTAAATCACATAACACTTTATTAGCAATCCAATTAGATGTATCATATCACATGACACTTTATTAGCAATTCAATTG